GATGTGGGCGGGGGCAGCCAAGGGGCGGGGTCGAAAGATCCTGTGGGGGCGGAGCACGGGGAGGGTCTCGAAAGGGGCGGGGTTAGTGGTGCGCCGGGGCGAAAGGGGCGTGGTCTGTGAGAGGGGGCCAGAGCCCCAAGAGAAGGAGCCAAGGGTGGTTTTCAGTAGAGGAGCAGACCTGCCCCGCCTCAAGCAATGAGTGCAAAACACCAAAAAGGTGGATTTTTGGAAAGTCAGACTCTCAGGCAAATGGAAAATAGGATGTAATTCCAAGGTGAAGTTACCCTTACTCCCTAAGAGTCCCTTATTTCTCTAACCTTCAAGGAAAGGGTACTAAATTTGGGGTCCGGACACCTGCGTTTTCTGGTGCTGCCATTTATTGGTTGTGTGACCTTGGATAATCTCTTAATCTTCCTGAGCCTTAGTTTACTCATCTGTCAAATGGGGTTGAGAGGTATACCTTACCTAGTATTGTAAGGAGTTGCTTAGAGACCAGCATGAACATGTTTTTAAACTGCAATAGTCTGTGTCTTTATAAAATGTTATTCTTTTTTTTTCCCCAGAGACCCCCCCGGCCGCCCTCCTCCTTCCTTTGTTCCAGTGGCTGGGGGGGTGTCCCCTCCCTCCACAACATGGAGCCATCTGGTCTATCACCCAGTGGGGCAGCACTCCCCCTGCCTCTATCGCTGGCTCCACCCCCACTGCCCCTGCCAGCTGCTGCAGTGGTACACGTGTCCTTCCCTGAAGTGACCAGTGCCCTTCTGGAGTCCCTCAATCAGCAGCGGCTTCAGGGCCAGCTCTGTGATGTATCCATCCGAGTGCAAGGCCGGGAGTTTCGGGCTCATCGGGCTGTCTTGGCTGCTTCTTCTCCTTACTTCCACGACCAGGTCCTACTTAAGGGCATGACCTCCATCTCACTGCCCAGCGTCATGGACCCAGGTGCCTTTGAGACTGTCCTGGCCTCTGCTTACACTGGCCGCCTGAGCATGGCTGCTGCTGACATTGTCAACTTCCTCACTGTGGGGTCTGTGCTCCAGATGTGGCACATTGTGGACAAGTGCACTGAACTCCTCCGAGAGGGCCGAGCGTCAGCCACCACAACCATCAGTACTGCTGCAGCCACTTCTGTCACTGTGCCTGGTGCTGGGGCCCCATCAGGGAGTGGGAGTACTGTGGCCCCTACCACCACAGGCTCTGTGCGCTCCCATACCTCCAGCCGGGCCAGTGAGAATCAGTCTCCCAGCAGCAGCAACTACTTCAGTCCCCGGGAGTCTACTGATTTCTCATCTTCCACCCAAGAGGCGTTTGCAGCTTCTGCAGTGGGCAGTGGGGAGCGACGAGGAGGTGGCCCTGTATTCCCAGCTCCTGTAGTTGGCAGTGGGGGTGCCACCTCTGGGAAGTTGCTGCTGGAGGCAGATGAGCTATGCGATGATGGTGGGGATGGGAGGGGGGCGGTGGTCCCTGGGGCTGGGCTTCGGCGACCCACCTATACACCTGCCAGTGTCATGCCACAGAAACACTGGGTATATGTGAAACGGGGTGGAAATTGCCCTGCACCAGCACCCCTGGTTTCCCAGGACCCAGATCTAGAGGAAGAGGAGGAAGAGGAAGACCTGGTGTTGACCTGTGAGGATGATGAAGATGAAGAGCTGGGGGGTGGCTCTGGGGTTCCAGCTGGGGGAGGGCCTGAGGCTACTCTCAGTATCAGTGATGTCCGGACCCTGACTGAGCCCCCAGACAAGGGCGAGGAACAGGTCAACTTCTGTGAGTCCTCTAATGACTTTGGCCCTTATGAGAGTGGGGGTTCTGGGGCAGGGCTTGATGACTCAGGGGGACCCACCCCCTCCTCCTATGCCCCCACCCATCCCCCAAGGCCCCTCCTTCCCTTAGACATGCAGGGCAACCAGATTTTGGTCTTCCCATCATCTTCCTCTTCCTCCTCCTCACAGGCTCCGGGCCAGCCACCAGGGAATCAGGCAGAACATGGGGCTGTCACCCTGGGGGGCACATCAGGGGGAGGCCTGGGTGTGCCAGGTGGCACTGGTGGAGCCCCTGGAGGGACCAGCAGCGGGGACGGTAATAAGATCTTTCTGTGTCACTGCGGGAAGGCCTTCTCCCACAAGAGTATGAGGGATCGGCACGTGAACATGCACCTCAACCTGCGGCCCTTTGACTGCCCCGTGTGCAACAAAAAGTTCAAGATGAAACACCACCTGACGGAACACATGAAGACACATACAGGTCTCAAGCCCTACGAGTGCGGTGTCTGTGCCAAGAAGTTCATGTGGCGAGACAGTTTCATGCGTCACCGGGGACACTGTGAGCGCCGGCACCGCATGGGTGGGGGCGGGGCGGGACTTGGACCTGCAGCGCCCACTGGGCCAGCCTTGCTTCCCAAGAGAGAGTCTGCCAGTGCAGGCGGGGGCAGTGGTGACGAGGCGAGTGGCACGCCCCCATCCAGCAGACGAGTCTGGTCCCCACCCACTGTCCACAAGGTGGAGATGGGCTTCAATGGGGGCGGCGGAGCAAACTGAAGAGGCAAGCAAGTGGGGTTACTTCCGGGGAAGAGGGAATAGGGAGCACGATCCAGAGGCACCGTGGCCCCCTGGTGATCTCCCATCACACTGTCTTCCTTTATCTCTTTGGACTTGTATATATTGTGGAGGGGGAACTACATTGCACCACCGCCAGCCCATTCCACTCTTTAGCCCCTTCCTTCCAAGGTATCCGGAATTAAGTCACCTTTCTTTCCCCTCTAGTGGGTATTCTGAAGCCCCAGTTCCATATAGGAGGGCGAACAAGGTGGGGGAGGGAAAGGGGCGTGTAGAGCATCTTGAATTCACAGGGTCAAGGGTCAGGTTGTTGTAGTCTGTGCCTGAAGTCTGTGTTTGTGTTGTGGGGACAAGGCCTTTGAGCCCCACTGTTGTCCTAGAACCTACCCCTTCCTGCAGGATGCGACCCTTATTTCTATGCTCTCTCACACACACACCTCCCCTGGGGATCCTCACTCAACTTGGTTCTCAATAGGGAGTGGGTGGAAATAGGAGGGAGTAAGTCGTAGTACAAGCTTTTAATTTTTTAAACAGTGATTAAAATATTTATTGGTCATTTCACTTGGCTTCCCTATAACCCCTACGTGCTTATTGGGGACCTGACACCGGTGTGCGAAGCGGGAGTAATAGTTCTCAGGGAAGTGCATGGTGCGGGGAAGATCCTAGAGGGGAGTTTAGGTTTGGGGAGGGCTCAAATCCGGCGATGCTGGGTAGTCCAGGAGGTGGTGGCAGGACTGAGGCGTCCACTGAAACCTGGAGAGGAAGTAACCAGAATATCCCTGCTTGACCAGTGGGGGATACATCCACCTCCACGGTCCTCACCTAACCTGAGCGGGGATTTCCTCGGCTCCTCCTGCTGTCCTTTGGAGGAAAGGAAAGCGAAAGTGAAAGGAGGAAGAGAAGGCTTCTCGGGGCTGAGGAGATCGCAGCGCCATGAAGCCCCTGTCCCTGCTCCTTGCTGTGACTTTGGGTGAGCGAACCCCGCGACTTCTCGCCCAGGAACAGGGGTGGGGAAGCGGAGAAGGAAGCCCCACCAAGCGTCGGCACTGTGTGTGGGGGGGGGGCGGGGGTTGGGTCATATGACATCGGCCGCCCAGTCACCCGCGGCCCGCTCCCCCAGGCCTGGCGACCACCGTCTCAGCAGGACCATCTGCGATCGAGTGTTGGTTCGTGGAGGATGTGGGCGGGGGCGGCCTGGCCAAGAGACCCGCTGCACTGCTTCTGCGCCAGGGACCCGAGGGACCGCCACCCCGGCCAGACCTCGACCCTAAGCTCTACCTCAAAGTGGACGGTGAGTCTTCCGGGACTCGCCCCCATCTCTGTGTACTCTACCGAAAATCCCTCCTCTTTAGAACGCGCATTGACCTCGGGCCTGAGTTTCTCCCTCTTATCTAAACGAGTCTGGATTACCTCAAAGCTTCTCGCTTCGAGGTACACTGTTCAACTGAAGTTTACTGAACCGTACCCTTCCAGTCCCGGGCAGTGACTCTACAGCTGCATTTCTTCCCGATCTCACAGACCCCACGGGCACCCTGCAGGCTGCCTTCAGGAGGTACCCCCGGGGCGTCCCCGCACCACACTGCGAGATAAGCCGATACATCCCGCTCCCTGCCTCTGCAAATTGGGCCAGCGGCCTGACCCCGGAGCGGAGCTGCCCGCGGGCCCTGGACGGGGCTTGGCTGACCGTCAGCATGTCCAGCTCGGTTCTAAGCCTCTCCAGCCTCTTGCGACTCCAGCCAGAGCCTCAGCAGGAGCCTGTTCTTATCACCGTGGCAACAGGTAGCTGGGAAGGGGAGATAAGAGATGGAGGGGGAAATTCTAACCATTCTGATTACCTGGACTCGCAGTATGGTCTTAAGCTAATCATTTCTGCACTCAGGGTTCAGTTTCCGTTTTGTAAAGCGAGATAGTTTAGCTAGAATTAATCGGCCTCTAGTGCTCCTCCTAGCCCTGAACCAGTAAGATAAAAACCAACCGCGGTTTGGGGGCGGGACTTCGGGGTGCTTTGAAGGGCGGGGCTTTGGAGAGGCGAGGTTTCTGGGCATCAAATTTTAGGATATTTGTAAGGTTATGGAGTAGGGAGGTGTTTAGAAGCTGGAATTTTTTTTCTCCGCTCCTCTCAGAGAATCTTGTTAGGCTACCCCCTAGCTTTGCAGTGCACCCTGTTTCAAATACCAATCTTCGACCCTCACCCGCTCCCACAAGCCCGTTGAGGCAATCAACAAAGCAATGGCTGTTGCTCTAAAGTGCATTTTCCTTCCCTTAGGCACATTGGTATGTGCTATGATTCCCCAAACAGTGGGCTCTAGTGGGCTAAAGGGACGTGGCGGGAGACCACCTATGGCGTGGTACAGTGCGGTCCTAGTGTCCAGACGTCTGACACCTTGCTGGGCAGTGGGTTTCTAAGTCTGGATTGGAGCAGATCTGACCTGGATGTCTATGAGCTCTTGCTTCTTCTCCCTGTGAGGCCAGGTAGTTACAGGTAGAGTCCTTGGCTTCTCAATCTTGTCCCAACCTGATAGATAGGTCAGTCGCAATGGAGCTCCTGCTTCCCTTCCCCGCTTCCTTTTCCCTTAATCACTGGTAGAGAATCACACATAGGAATATCACAAATATTCCTCTGTTGAGCACTACTGTCCCCAATACTCTCTGAGACTCCAAAAACCTCAACTGTGTCAGCAGCTCCCACACTGGGCAGAGGCAGAAGAAAACTGCTCTTTGTGGGGACAGTAGTGCTCAACAGAGGAATGTTTCCTAGGGCTGCTGGCTTCACTATGAGGTGGTGATGAGAATGTTTCTCTCTGAGTTTGTTCTTCCACCTGTAAAAGGTGCATACCATTTCCCACCTGCTTTTTAGTTGTGACTATCAAGGGAAGCATTGTGTTAATTTATTCACTGATTGAATAAATATTTGTTAGCACTAAGAAAAAGGGCTCAGGAGTTCTTTGATAAGGTTGCAAATAACACTTATGTTGGAAACTTCTAAAATATCCCCAAACCACAGGACATTGAGGCGCACTGCTGTAATCACAGCAGCTTGGGATACTGAGGCAGGAGGATCACAAGTTCAAGGCCAGTCTCAGCAACTTAGTGAGGCCCTCTCAAAAATAAAAAGGGCTGGGGATGTGGTTCAATGGTTGAGCATCCCTGGGTTCAATCTTCAGTACCAAAGTGTGTGTGTGTGTGTGTGTGTGTGTGTGTGTGTGTGTGTACACAACAAAACCTGGGTCCCTCTATAGGAAAATTAAATCAATATATGGGAGCTGTGTGTGTAGCTCAGTGGTAGAACACTTGCCTGTTATGCTTAAGGTCCTGGGTTCCAAATCCAGCATCGGAAAAAAAAAACAACAATATGTGGGGTGGTCCTGAATACTGTTAAGGTCACAAACGTTATCAGGTGTAGATTGTGCCCTCAAAGAGGTTCTCAGATTTGTCATAGATAATCCTAACATAAAGTAGAAAGTGACTTGTGGGGCTCAGTTGGTAGAGTGCTTGCCTCACATGTATAAGGTTTTGGGTTCTATCCCCAGCACCACAAAAAAAAAAAAAAAAAAAAAAAAAAAAAAAAAAAGAAAGAAAGAAAGAAAGAAAGAAAGAAAGAAAGTGACTTGTGTATGGCTGAGGGTCTAGCTTTGTGGTACTTAGTGCCAGTGCTTAGAATGCATTGAAGGCCCATTTCTAATGGCCTTCTAAAAACCATTTCTAATTGATTAGGGACTATAAAAGCTATTATTATGATGTAACATTAGAAATGGAATCTCTTTAGGGTCAGATATCATTGATAATTAATTTTTACTTTTTTAAAAAAATTACGTGAAACTGAGGATTGAACTCAGGAGTGCTCTACCACTAACTTATATCCCCAGTCCTTTTTATTTTCTATTTTGAAACTCTCACCAAATTGTCCAGGCTGGCCTCAAACTTGTAATCCTCCTGCCTCAGCCTCCCAAGTAGCTGAGATTACAGGTGTAGACCACTACATTATGTATTATAAATACACTTTTTTGGGTTTTTTTTTGTTGTTATTTGTTTGTTCGTGTCATGTGGTGCTAGGGACCATGTGTGCTAGGCAAGAGCTTCCACTGAGCTATCACTCCAGCCCTCAAATATATATATATTTTTTAATATTTATTTTTTAGTTATCAGCAGACACAACATCTTTGTATGTGGTGCTGAGAATCGAACCCGGGCCGCATGCATGCCAGGCAAGCGCGCTACCACTTGAGCCACATCCCCAGCCCCTCAAATATATTTTTTTGGCAGATTTTGGGTATATAGTATTTAATTCTCACCTTTTTTTTGTTTTGTTTTGTTTGGTACTGGGGGGGATTGAACTCAGCCCACTCAACCACTGGGCCACACTCCCAGCCCTTTTTCATATTTTATTTAGAGACAGGGTCTCACTGAGTTGCTTAGTGCCTTGCCATTGCTGAGGCTGGCTTTGAACTCACAATCCTTCTGCCACAGCCTCAGGAGTCACTGGGATTACAGGCATGCACAACTGCGCCTGGCTAATTTTCACCATTCTTTTAGAATATTTTTGTGTAAATGTTAAAGATACACAAAAGGGCTGGGGATGTAGCTCAATGATAGAGTGCTTGTCAAGGTCTTGGGTTTGATCTCTAATACCACAAAAACAAAACAAACAAAATTCCCCATAAAATTAGAGAACATGGTGAATGAACTCCTCAATGTCCATTTCTACCCATTATGCAGTTGGAGAGTTATAAAATTTTATCGAATTGTTTCACTTACCCTCCCTCTTATTATTTACTTATTTTTACGGGTACTTAGGATCGAACTTAGTACCTCACATGTGCTAGGCAAGACTCAACCACTGAGCTACAACCCCAGCTTCTTTTTTTTTTGAAGTGTTTGAAGGTATATTCCAAGCACCATATTATTTTACTCATAAGTACTTCAGAATGCATCTCTATTGAATAAGGGTTTTAAGAAAACTTGATCATAATATGTTTATCATACCTAACAAAACAAGTAATAATTCCTTAGTATCATCTTGATCTGGGGATGTAGTTTAGTGGTAGAGTACTTGCCTAGCATGCTCTGGGTTGGATCCTCAGAACTGTAAAACAAACACCTATTGATTTTTGGGGGGAAACGTGGTCACTTGTTCTGTAGAATTTTCTTCATCCTGAAGTTGGCCAATTTTTTCCTCCTGTGTCATTTATCTTATTCCACTTTCCTCTATATTTCCTATAAATTGGTAGATCTAAAGATTTAGATTTGTTTGTTTATTTATTTATTGGTACTGGGGATTGAACCCAGGGGCACTTAACCACTGAGCCACATCCCCACCCTTTTTTTGTATTTTAGAGACAGGGTCTTACTGATTAGGGCCTCATTAAGTTACTGAGGCTGGCTTTGAACTTGTGATCCTCCTGCCTCACCTCCTGAGTGGTTGGAATTACAGGCAGGTGCCACCACCTCCGGCTAGGTTTGATTTTTTTTTTTTCAGTAATATTTGATAATTAGTTGTTATTCACTTTTTTTTTTGCTGTACTGGGAATTGAAGCCAGGGGGCGATCTACAGAGCTACATTCCCAGTCCTTTTTTAGCGACTCACTAATTTGTTCAGGTTGGTTTGGAACTTTGGATCTTTCTGGCTCAGTCTTTGGTATAGCTGGGAATACAGGACCAGACCACCAAGCCTGGCTGGGTTTACTTCTGTATTCCTACAGAGTACAATTTAAAGGACGCAGGTCTAAAATTGCTTTCTATAGTGCTTATTTTTTTTTTTTTTTTTTAAAGAGAGAGTGAGAGGGGAGAGAGAGAGAGAGAGAGAGAGAGAGAGAGAGAGAGAGAGAGAGAGAATTTTTAATATTTATTTTTTAGTTCTCGGCGGACACATCTTGGTATGTGGTGCTGAGGATCGAACCCGGGTCGCACGCATACCAGGCGAGTGCGCTACCGCTTGAGCCACATCCCCAGCCCTATAGTGCTTATTAAAGATCACTATTGCAGGGCATGGTGGGGCATACCTGTAAAACCAGCTATATTGGAGGATTGAGGCAGGAGGATGGCAGAATACCCCTGGGTTCAATTCCCAGTTAAAAAAAAAAAAAGGTCACTGTTAAATTGAGAGTTAAACTGTAAAATCTTTAGATATTTATTAATCCTGATTTTTTTTTTTTTTGTACCAGGGATTGAACACAAAGGTGCTTAACCATTGAGCCACACCCCCAGCCCTTTTTTGTATTTTATTTAGAGACAGGGTCTCACTGAGTTGCTTAGGACCTTGCTAAATTGCTGAGGCTGGCTTTGAACTTGTGATCCTCCTGTCTCAGCCTCCTGAGCCACAGGGATTATAGGCATGCAGACACTGCACCTGGCTAATCCTGAGTTTTACTTTTGAATTGCTTTTTTTTTTTTTTTAAATCAGGATTAGAAAAATCCAGAAACATACTTTTGAATTGCTTTTATTTATTTTTTTAAATCAGGATTAAGTAAAATTGCACTTTTTTTTTTAAACTAAACAATTGACTGAGACAAGATGCTATGTTGGACTTGAACTTTGCCCACATGCCCCCCACCCTTGAGGCCACTGCATCTCTGGCTCCAAGTCAGTGTCTGTCTGTCTGTCTGTCTGTCTCTCTCTCTCTCTCTCTCTCTCTCTCTCTCTTTAACTAAACTTATGAGGAAAGTTTAACTTCATAAGCCTCAGAAACTAATATTAAAAATAAATAACCAAGGTGTGGTGCTTGAACCTGTAATTTCAGCTATTTGGGAGACTGAAGCAGGAAGATGACTTAAGCCTAGGAATTCAAGACATCCTGAACAAAATAGCAAGACCTTGCCTCAAAAATAAATAAATAGTGCCCAGTGTGGTGGCCCTCACCTATAATCCCAGTGACTGGGGAGGCTGAGGCAAGAGGATTGTATGTTCAAAGCTAGCCTCAGCGATTTGGTGAGACCCTAAGCAACTTGGTAAGACCCTGTCTCTAAATAAATAATAAAAAGGGCTGGGAATGTGGCTCAGTGGTTAAATTTCCCTGGATTCCATCCCCAGTACCAAAATAGTAGTAGTAGTAGTAGTAGTAATAATGATAATAATAATAATAATAATAATAATATACATAAATAGTAAATAATAGCAAATAGGAAATAATAGTAAATAAGGAAACAAAAATTTTTAGCAGTAGCACATACCTGTAATCCCAATGTCATTGGGAGATTGAGGCAGGAGGATCCCAAATTTGAAGCCAGCCTAGGCAACTTAGCAGAGACTCTGTCTCAAAATCAAATATAGAAAGGGCTGGGGATATAGTTCAGTGGTAGAGTGCTTATGGGTGCAACCCCCAGCACCCCAAAACATGATAAGAAAAGAAAAATTACTTCTACATTAAGGACCTAGACATTTCTGGGAAGAAGTAGCAGTGGAACTGGCCTTGAAGGACATGAAGTGGTATTTAGATGTCTGAAGAAATAGAGGAAATACTGACTAGAGATATAGCTCAATATAGGACACTTGCCTAGCATGCTTGAGTCCGAGTTGGATAGTTGGATCCCCAGCACCACAAAATAAAACAAAAGACATTAGAAACTGTAGAACCTCATAACCAAAGCAAAAAGATGGCCAACAATTAAAATTTAGTCACAAGAAAGGCTTTTTTTTTTTTTTTTTGTACCAAGGATTGAACCCAGGGACATTAACCACTGAGTCACATCCCCAGCCCTTTTTATTTTCTATTTTCAGACAAGGTCTCACTAAGTTGCTTAGGGCCTCAATAAATTGCTTAGACTGACTTTGAACTTGTGATCCTCCTGCCACAGCCTCCTTAGCTGCTGGAAGTATAAGCAAAGAAAGGGATTCTAATGTGACTAGTTTTCAGGATATGAAGCAGTCTGGAAAGGTCGTTTGGGGTATTCTGTAGATGATAGTGGACCATAAGAAGTTGTTTTTGTTTTTGAGGAGGAGTCATTTATCCCCAAAGCCTGTTCTTTTCTTTGATTATCACAAAATATATTTAAGAATTGGCTCATGGGACTAGTGAGGAAAATAGAGGTTAAGTGATGTATCTAGGAAGTCCATAATGATGATGAAGGTAGTGAAATTAGTAACAGCTAACATTTGTGGAGTATCTTCTATATGCTAGGCCCTGTTCTAAATACTTTATATGCATAATCTTATTTATTTCTTCAAAAGTCATAGGACATGGGTGTGTTAGTATTTTTTTAATATTTCTCTTTTGGGCTGGGGATGTGGCTCAAGCTGTAGTGCGCTCACCTGGCATGCGCAGGGCGCTGAGTTCGATCATCAGCACCACATAAAAATAAAGATGTTGCGTCCACCGAAAATGAATAAATAAATATTAAAAAAATTTCTTTTTTAGTTGTAGTTGGACACAATACTCTTATTTTATTTATTTATTTACTCTTATGTGGTGCTGAGGATGGAACTCAGGGCCTCACACATGCTAGGCGAGCACTCTACTGCTGAGCCAGAACCCCAGCCTGGGTGTATTAGTATTATTGCCATGTTGCAAATGAAGAAATCTGAGTAATTAGGTAACTTAACCAAGGAATATAGCTTATAAAAAGAAGGGTTCAAAATTGAACCCAGGTTATGTAGCTCTAGCCTGCGTACCTTTAGCTACTGACTTCCTTGGTAACTGGGATTTTGAGGGGTTTTTGTTTCTTTTTTGAGTCAGTGTCTTAATAGATTGTCTAGGCTGCCCTTGAACTCCTGGGATCAATTGATCCTCCTGCCTTAGCCTCCTGAGTAGCTGGGACAATAGGTGTGTGTCAACATGTCTAGGTGGCAGTTGGGATTTTTTTGGGGGGAGGTGGTGGTACTGGGGATTGAACCTAGAGGCACTCCAACACTGAGTTACTTTCCCTGCCCTTTTTATTTCTTGAGACAGGACTTGCTAAGTTGCCCAGGCTGGCCTGGAACTTGCAATCCTCCTGCCTCAGCCTCCCAAGTTGCTATGATTATAGGAGAGCACCACTGCACCAGTTGGCAGTTGGAATTTTTAATCAGGCAAGTGACCTGAGCAGACATGTAGCCACACTGTTTGATTACAGGGTAAAGTAGGGGTTGAAGGAGAGAATGACAATTGAGAGACCAGAAAAGAGGCTATTGTAATTGTCCAAATGTATGTTGTAAAGTACCTGAGTTGTAAACAGGTATGAGATCGTGATGAGAGTAGCACATGACATATTATTTTTGGCAATTTGCTTTTCTCTCATATCTCCTCCCCTCCCCTCTCACGCTGTCTTCCCCAGTGGTGCTGACTGTCCTCACCCACACCCCTGCCCCCCGAATCCGACTGGGACAAGATGCTATATTGGACTTGAGCTTCGCCTACATGCCCCCAACCCTCGAGGCTACTGCATCTCTGGCCCCAAGTCCCCCTCCCTTTGGGCTGGAGTGGCGACGACAGCACCTGGGTAAGGGGCACCTGCTCCTGGCTGCAACTCCTGGGCTGGGTGGGCAGATGCCAGCAGCCCGAGAAGGAGCAGTGGCGTTTGCTGCTTGGGATGATGATGATCCATGGGGCCCATGGACTGGGAATGGGACCTTCTGGCTGCCTGCTGTGCGACCCTTTCAGGAGGGCACCTATCTGGCCACTGTACACCTGCCATACCTGCAAGGACAGGTCTCCTTGGAGCTTACTATGCACAGTGAGTAGGGCCAGACGTCTCTGGGGGTAGAGGGTGGCCACTGGGGTTAGGAGGATACTATGACAGAGGGAGGGGTGATGAAAAAGAGGGGCCCTGGGAATCAGAGAAGCAGTAGTGTGGGGTGGAGTGTCCCTGGGGATCTGATAGACTTTGGCTTGGAGATTCCTGTGAAGCACTCATGGGGACAGTGTGTTCCCCATTCTTGGAGAATACCCCTTGTCATTTTGGGGGAAGCTGGAGAGTAAGCTGAGGGAAGACATTGTGGACTGACTTCTCACGTTCATTTCCTTCTCTTTCCCCAGAGCCCCCCAAAGTGTCCCTGTCACCAGCACCCCTTGTTTGGGCTGCCCCAGGGGAGGCACCTCCAGAGTTGCAGTGCCTTGTGTCCCACTTCTACCCTTCTGAGGGCCTGGAGGTAGAGTGGGAGTTCCGGGGTGGCTCAGAGAGTGGATCTCAGAAGGCCGAGGGGCAGAGGTGGCTCTCCTCTCTGCGCCACCATTCAGATGGCTCTGTCAGTCTCTCCGGACACCTACAGCTGCCCCCAATCACTGCTGAGCAGCATGGGGCTCGGTACATCTGTCGTGTCCACCACTCCAGCCTGCCCGCCTCGGGGCGAAGTGCTGAGGTCACTGTGGAGGTGGCAGGTAAGACCTAGGGGCACTGTGGAGCCCAGGTGATGCCTCGGAAGACACGGAAGTTCACTCTCTTTTCCATCTGCCAGGTTTCTCTGGGCCCTCCCTTGAGGATGGCGTAGGGCTCTTCCTGTCTGCCTTCCTCCTCCTGGGACTCTTCAAGGTGCTGGGCTGGGTCGGTGAGTGTGACACTATCCCCACCATGGGAAGGACAGGAGCTAGACACCATTCCTCTGCCCTCCCCCTCTATATTCCCACATCCCAACCCTCTTAATTTTTCTCCACAGCTGCCTACCTGATCATTCATAAGGATTCCAAGGAGAAGGTAAACAGTGCTCCATTTCCTCTTATCTCTTCCCCTTCTTATTTAATCCCTCTCTTCCCAACTCATCACCCATGGAGGGAGGCTGCTGCTGTGGTGGGCACAATCAGACTTGGAATTCACAGAGACCTGCCCTACATTCTAACTGTAGGGCCCCTTGAACATGCTTAAACTGCATCTGTTTCCTTGGATGTCTTGATTTAAAAAAATTACTTAGGCAGTGCTGTCCAATAGAAATATAATGTAAGCCACATATGAAAATTTGAATAATCTAGTAATCATATTAAAAAAGTGAAAAGAAGTTGATTGTGGTGGTGCACATCTGTAATCCCAGCTACTAGGGAGGCTGAGGCATGAGGATCACAAATTCCAGGCCAGCCTGGGTAATTTAAGTCTCTGACTGGAAATAAAATTTTAAAAAAGGGGAGGGGGTGTGTAGCTCAGGGTAGAGTGCTTGCCTAGCATGTTTATAGGCCCTGGGTTCAATTCCCAGTATTGCAAAAAAGGAAAAATTAAAATTAATTTGATGCTTTATTTAATCAAATCCAAATATTGTTATGTAGACAAAAACAATATAAGAAATTATAGGGCTGGTGGTGTGGCTCTGGATTCAATCACCAGTGTCAAAAAGAAGAAAAAAAAAATATATATATATAGAGAGAGAGGGAGAGAGAGCCTTTTTTCTAACCTAAGTGTTCATAGCTGGAGTTGATTTTAAACTATCAGCACATCAATTCACATTAGCCACATTTCAAATGCTCAGTAGCCATATGTGGCTTCCACATTGGTGGTACCTTGACTAACAAAATGGTGGCTACCACATTGCACAGAGGAGCTCTGGATGACTATTAGGGGGATTAGGATCTGTTAGAAGATGCAGGAGACAAAGCACTCAGTACAGTAAGTGGCAGGCAGAAAATGTGAGCCCCATCTCTCTCCCACCTGCTGGACTGACCATGGGCAAGTACCTCACCCCACCTCCTGAAACCCCCAAATTCCTCACTTCCTTCTTATTTTCTTCCAGAAAACACAGTGAAGGCACTCAGCACTACCCTGTGGAAGCTACCATCATCTCTGGCCCTAGCTACTGTAGCAGCTCCCCCAAACAGTACCCCATCACCTGCTCCTACTCTCTCAAAACTTCCTACACTGAATGGCTGGAATTTTTTTTTTTTTTTTAAAGACAAATCTTATTGCATTTGTCTTCTTAAAGCTCTTGGGCAGTGGTTCTCAAAATTTTTGGTATCAGGACTTTCTTAAAAATTATCAAAGTCAGGCCTGTTGGCACATGCCTGTAATTAGGTGAGCCGCAGCAATTTAGTGAGGCCCTAAGCAACTTAGTGAAACCCAGTCTCAATAAAAAATAAAAAAGGCTGGGGATGTATCTCAGTGGTAAAGTGCCCTAGGCTCAATCCTCAGGGCCAAAAATCAAAGACTCTCAAAAGCTTTTGTTATCTGTGCTATAACTATTGATATTTATTGTACTAAAACCTAAAATAGAAAGATTTTAAACACGAGAATACATAAATACACATTCTATTAGTTTTGAAAGCCATGGTGTCAATACATATCATGTAGCTTCTGGAAAACCCCGCATGTACACTCTTAGAAAATTATAATGAAAAATGCAAATAACATTTTATAGAGTTGTTAAGTTTTAACCTCAAATACCCACTGAAATTGTCTTGGGGACCTCTGGGACAGAAACCAACCTTGGAGAACCAGTGCTCTGGGGTAAATTCCTTCTTCCTGCTCCGTCCTGTGAGTCCCCCCCCACCCTGCCCGAACACTGCCTACCTCTCCAGTCCTACTAGGTGCTCCCCAGCCCTCCTCTCAATGCTCATCAACAGACAGCTATTCCTTTCTTCCGATGAACCAAAGGCCTCCCGCCAGCCTCGAGTTCCGCAGCTTGTTTCCCTCCGCCTGGCTCCTTCCCTGGGCCCCCGACTTAGGTCTGCCTCGTGATTCCCCTCAGGCGGTCGCGTGTCTGTCTTGTGAGGTTCACCACAGCTGTAGTTAAGTGATTGTGAGAATCGTGGTTAAACGCCCGTCTACCCTCCCGGACTGTGGCTCCTGTGGCTCAGCGTGACAAGCCTGTGTGTCCTCTGCTGTATGACTGGCGCCCACTGGAGGGCGCTCATTAAAAAGCTGCTGAACTTAGAACCGAGGAAGCCGCAGCACAAGGGGCTGGACGGTCGTCGGCCAGACGGATGGGGAACGGGTCTAGTGTGGGAATAAAGTAGTGTTCCAGTGCTTCCAACCGGGTGTCGCATTCTATTCCTTTTCCAAGCACAGTCACCTTTGGTCTCTTTCAATTACCCCGTCTCCCAAACGCCTCGGAGATATCCAATCTCCGGTGGCAACAATGCAGAGTCACACACCCAGAGGCTCCAAAGACACCTTAAGCAAACGCTACCTCGAACCTCCAACGAGCCGCGAGGACCGGAAACGCCCCAGAGCCGAGTCTCAACCGGATGTGGCGGCTTCCTGCCCCGCCCCCAGGGGGTGGGCGGGAACTGAGTGCTCCTCAGAAAACCTGGCGTGGATTCGGTCCGTTGCACTCGTGGGTTGGGGCTGGGAGTGTAACCTTGTGGGGTGCAGTAACCCGGTCTTTTCCCGGCTAAAGCACTTTCCGCAATAGTGTTGGCCTTGTTCTTGCTGGTGAAAGGAATGTCAAATTCTGCTCCTGCCCTCCTCCGGAGGCTGGAGACTGGAATTTTTATTCCAATTCAGTGAGGAGCGACATGAGCTCCAGAATCCAGGAGAGGAGGGGCGGGGGACAGTGGAGGTGGGGACCCGAGCCCCTGCGTCTCGGCCCCAGGACGTCCAACGTTCCCCTAGTCCGCGGCTCTGGCTCCTGTCCTCACTTCCTTCCCTTTTTGGCTCCTGCTCTCGGAGCGGGCGGACGCGGGGGGGAGCGGAAAGGGCGGGAGGGCCCGGGAGCCCCGCGGGGGGGTGTAGGGGGGTGCGGAAAAGCCGCGGAGGGGACTCGGTCCAGGGACTCTGTAGAGGGCCGGAGACCGACAGGAACAGCGGCCCGGGACCCGCGCTGCCCCCACCGAGCAGGTCAGAGCCAGAGCACCGAATGACCCTGCCCGTCCTGTACTTGTGACCCCCTCATCCCTAAAATGCACCAAGGGCCCTCGTTTTCCACCCCTATTTTGCTCCCTCCCTCAGCCTTCCTGCAGGACTCCCATCCGGTTACCTTTACACTCACCCGCATTCTTTCCCTGTCCCGCTCCCCCACGCCCGCCTGACTCCACCCCACCCCCATCCCCGTCTCTCCCCAGGCGCCCCCATGGCCCGACCCCGCTGATTCCTTCACTTGGCCATGCTCCCGCGGCCCCTGCGGCTGCTTTTGGACACGAGCCCCCCCGGGGGAGTCGTGCTGAGCAGCTTCCGGAGCCGAGATCCCGAAGAGGGTGGGGACCCAGGTGGCCGGGCCGTGGGCGGGGGGCAGGAGGAAGAGGAGGAGGAAGAAGAAGAGGTGAGACGCGGGTGGTGGGAAGCAGGGGCAAACATATTTCGGAGACTCTCCGCCTTTCTCTCGGTGTCTCTGGGTTCCTACGGCGCTTCCTCCCTGCCTCAGTCATTTTCACGCCTATTGCTGTGTATCTGTCTTCCTGAAGCGGGGAGTCCTGGAGTCTCTGTCTTCTCTGTCAGTGTGACTCAGGATCTGCCCGCAGGAACCTGCCTTGTTCCAGTCTGGGGCTCTGGGCCTCTCTGCCTTTGCCTGCCTGAGATTGTCTCTCGGGGTAGCTGTGTCCTGGTCCCGGTCTTCCTCATTTTTGTTTGGAGGGGAGGGGTTTGTTTCCACAGTAACCAATTCCTCAGACTCTGGGATTGGGGAGGGAGCCCTCAGATTTCGTGACCCCTCCCTCCTTCCCTCCCTCTCTCCTCCTCTTCTACCCTTGATGTTAGATAGAGGCCGGGAAGCCAGGGTTCTGGGACCTGGAGGGACAATCTCAGCTGGGTAGAGTGTGGTTATCTGTTTTCTCTAGGGACTAATGGTGGTGGCCAGAAGCACGGTTTGGAGCTTCAGGAAGTTAGATTTTTACCCCACTTTGATGGTGCTTGGGATCTAACCCAGGGCTCTGCATGCTGGGCAAGCGCTGTACTACTGAGTTACATTTCCAGTCCCAGATGTTATATTTAAGGCCCAGAAGCCCTGGACTCCTGGGTCCAGACACTGGGTGAAGGCGGGGTGACTAGCAGGGCTGGTTTTTCGGGACCGGCCAGGGGAGGGGCCGAGACCACGTGACTCTGAGTCTACCAGCCTCTCCCCCCCCCATCATTCCCACTTCCCCTTCTCCTTCCAGTACTGGGATTGGAGCAGCCACCTTCAGGGGGGGTCCTCAGGGCTGGGATAGTGGAAGCCCCACCCGAGGGACCTGGGGAAAGGGGGCCTAAGGGGACAGACTAATTCTTCTGGCTTGTCCGGTTTTTGGCGGGGAGGGCGGGGGCACGCTGCTGTGCCTGTGCCTGATTTTTCTGCTTCTCAAGGTCTCTGGCTCTCGGCCTGTTTCTCTTCCCTCTTCTGCCCTTTGTACCCTGCTTTTTACTGTGCTAGGGTTCAGCTCTGGGGGGAAGGGTCATTGGGGGTTTCCAGGATCCTGGTTTCTGCGTTCCATCCAATCCCCCACTGCAACCCCCCCGACTTTACCGGGTCCTGAGGCTGCTGGGGGGGGGCTGTCTGGGCCCCCGTGGGGGAGACCTGGGGTCACCAGCCCCCCCCACCCCTCGCACTCGTTGGTACTGTCCCCCTCCATCACAGGTGAGGGGTACAGAGGGAGGAGCAGGGCCTGGGGTGAGAGGGAGGGACAATAGAGATGGTATGGAGTTATCTGACTTCCTCTTCCTTGCTCCTCCAGGCCCCTGTGTCTGTCTGGGATGAGGAGGAGGATGGTGCCACCTTTACTGTCACAAGCCGCCAATATCGGCCTCTTGATCCCTTGGTGAGATCATGACTTTGGCTTCTCACCTCTGACCCCTCTTGTCCCAGTCCCTTTCCTCTGGCTGACTTTCTGACCAGAGTACCGGGTTGGAGGTCCAGAGCCTACCACTCTGCTGTGTGATATAGGCTAAGTCCTTTGCCCACTTTGAATCTCATCAAAATGATTCTGGATCAACTTCTTAGTCTGGAATTGTCCCCAGATATCTAGGGGGCAGTGTTGAAGGAAAGGCCAGTGACCAACTGTCTGTGTCCTCCAGGCCCCCACACCTCCACCACGGTCCTCCCGACGGCTCCGAGCTGGCACCCTGGAGGCTCTGGTCAGACACCTGCTGGATCCCCGGACATCAGGGGCTGACATGACATTCATGTCAGCCTTCCTAGCCACCCACAGGGCCTTCACCTCCACGCCTGTCCTGCTTGGGCTTGTGGCTGACAGGTCAGGGTCATAAGGAGCCAAAGGTCACGGAGGTGTTTTCTAAAGCTGGAACATCCATCCAAAGGAGTCAGAGCCATGAAGGGGGTGGGCAGGGGCGGAGGTGGTTGAGGGAGTTGGAAAGATGCACAGATAAGTTCTCTCCCCTCAGGCTGGAAGCCCTTGAGTCTCATCCTACTGATGAGCTAGAGAGGACAACAGGGTGAGTGATCCTATTCTCAACCTCAGTCTCCTCTGCCCAAGCTGTGGCTGGACCTCTGACCCCTGGCTGATTCCCCGTCTCCCAGGGTAGCCATCTCTGTACTGTCAACCTGGCTGGCCTCTCACCCTGAGGATTTTGGCTCTGAGGTCAAGGGTCAGCTTGACCGGCTTGAGGGCTTCTTGCATCGGACAGGGTATGCAGCTGGGGAGGGTGTTGGGGGGGGCAGCGCTGACCTCTTCCGCAACCTCCGGTCCCGGGTGGACCCCCAGGCCCCCGACCTTCCTAAGCCCCTGGCCCTCCCCGGCGACCCCCCTGCTGACCCCACGGATGTCCTGGTGTTCCTCGCTGACCACTTGGCCGAGCAGCTGACCCTGCTAGATGCGGTGAGACCCTGACCTTTGATCCCTATGTCCCTTGACCCCTTACTAACCTCTCCTTGACTCCAGATCCTTGTCCTTGCTTCCACCCCATTCCTAATCCAGTTCCTAGCCTCCTCCATCTACTGTTTTGACTTTTTCCCTTGGTGGTTACCCTTTCAAACCCTGTACCCTTCTGGTTCCCTGGCCACCTGAGATCCTCAGATCCCTGGTATTGGAAGGCTCAACTCACTTGACTGTGAACTTTAACCTTTGCCCTCTGCCCTGCAGGAACTATTTCTCAATCTGGTCCCCTCTCAGTGCTTGGGGGGCCTGTGGGGTCACAGAGACCGGCCAGGACATTCCCATCTCTGCCCATCTGTCCGAGCAACTGTCACACAATTCAACAAGGTGGCAGGGGCTGTGGTTAGCTCTGTCCTGGGGGCCACCTCAACAGGAGAGGGACCTGGGGAGGTGACCATACGCCCACTTCGACCTCCCCAGAGGGCCCGGCTCCTGGAGAAGTGGATCCGTGTGGCAGACGTAAGTAAGGATTGTCCTGTTGGGGACCATGGTGTGGAGAGGGGTCCCACAGCCTTGGCTTTCCTCTTGGACTCCCACAGGAGTGCCGACTTCTCCGAAACTTCTCTTCAGTTTATGCTGTTGTGTCAGCCCTGCAGTCCAGCCCCATCCATAGGCTTCGGGCAGCCTGGGGAGAAGCAGCCAGGTGGGGAGGCCAACACGCTGGACTGAGGGTGGGAAGACAGGGTGACTAAGACAGGCCTGTCCTCAGGGCCTTTGTTCTCCTTCCCCCAGGGACAGCCTCCGAGTCTTTTCTAGCCTCTGCCAGATTTTCTCTGAGGAGGACAATTATTCCCAGAGCAGGGAGCTCCTCCTGCAGGTGAGGCCCTATTATCTGGCATACCCAAACTTTCTTGTGCCTACTTGCCACATATCTCCTTGTTTTGTCACCACCAGGAGGTGAAACTGCAGCCCCCTCTGGAGCCACACTCCAAGAAGTCCCCGAGGTCTGGTTCCCGGGGTGGGGTGAGTGATTAGCAGAGGGTTGGGGAGAGGTATGGAGTGCCTTCATAGGAGGAAGTCTGAGGGGTGGGAAGGGGAACCATAGGTGATTGAGGAGAATAAAAAGTTGTTCTCAGAGGCAATGAGGGAAAGTATGGAGGGATATAGGATCCTTAGACCAGAGACAGGGCCTCTGATCCTGACGTCTAACTTCAGGGTGTGGTCCCATACCTTGGTACCTTCCTGAAGGACCTCGTGATGCTGGATGCAGCCTCCAAGGATGAACTGGAGG